ATAATAATTCAACATCATAATTATTTTACACCATTAAACGCTTCCCTACATCAAAATTTGAATGAATATTATAATGATATAGCTTTCGTTAGAATAATTCCAATGGAAATATTCTGATAGAATGAATTTTCTATCGGAAGTTTAGTTTGAATTTGATGATTCCATTTTTATTCCAATGGTTTATTACCGAAGGAATTTCCGTTAGAATATGCTATTTCAGTTGAAATTTTTGTTTTCACCCATATTTCAACTGTTAGAATCGTCAAAATCCAATGGGAATTCCAATGAAAACTCATTCCAACGATATATTTGCGGAATTTTCATTGGAATGCCATTGAAAAATTCCAACGGAAATAATAATATTTTAATTTCCGTTGGAATTTCATTGGACTATATTTTCGTTGAAATTTCATGATTTTCTTGTAGTGTGTGAGGCCGATATTTTATTTTTATAAATACACATACTATTATTAATATTATACTTCAAAAAAAAAAAAAGAATATTAAGAAAAGTATAACATTAAATGGTAAAATATATATTGTTATTCATATAACATGACAATGGACCCATCTAACGGTTAGTTAGGGTGTAAGAATTTTTGTTTAGACATAATATATTAATGAATATTATAATGGATAAAAATTATGTAGAGATAGAGTTATTCAGGAAAATTATCAAAATTATATATTGTATAAGTTGATGCGTTGTGATAAGGAATAATTTGATTTCTTTATTATTGATCAATTATTCAATGAACCATTCATAACAATAACTTATTCCATTCTCATTCTTTTTATATGGTTTATAATTATTGGGAGGCATGTAACCGTAACATGTGCTTATATATATACCAGTATCAAACATGTCGTGAAGAAGTCAAAACATATAATCATCATCAGAAAATAATAACAAGGCTTATAGGAAAAATGAATTCGACACCGAACAACGACCAATTATATAAATTATAAAAATATGTTAGTTCAATAAAATTACAAAAAAATTCCTTGAGAGTTCTGTTTTATTTACTCCAATAGTTAGCTCTTCATATAAAACATTATTTTTTATTACATCCTCCATAACCTTGTCTATTTTATAATTAGAAGTGAAATTAAACATATGAATCGAGTGATTATCAAATTTGGATCAACCTCAAACCTATATGTTATAGCTTGAGTGTTCAACATGTTGTTGGGAATATAAGACCTTCTCCAACCGAACACCAAAACCCATTTTTTGTAGTAAAATCGCCCCAACCGAAGTCCAAACGCATCTGCAATTTGCGTTTATTTTGTTTCTCTCTCCTCTTTCAACGCATATTTGCGTCTGGACGCAAAAAATGAGTCTCAACTTTTTTTTTTTCATTTTAGTCCCTCCTTTTATTTGTCATGTTTTGCTTTTTGTCATTTTAGCCCCATCTTTATTAAAATAATGTTTTGTGTGTAATTTTTTATATATATTAATTTAATATCTTTTTCACATAAAATTTAAAATAATGAATATTAATTTTATATTTTTTCACAATATGTAAAGTACTAAAAAATCTCAATTTCTTTTAAATTAGATAATATAATATTAAAATAATAAATATTATATTTATCATTTAATTTTATATCTTTCACAATAATAATAATGTAAAATATACATATTATTTATGGTATTTTTATTATGTATATGATTATTACTTTATAATTAGTTTATTACATAAAGTCTAAATTGAATTGAAAATAATGGTGTGGTTTAATTTGTAAAGTTGTAAAATATGTGGGTAGTATTGAAAAGTAGTAAAAGTTGATGTAAAAAAAGAATATTCCGATAATATTCTTTTGAGTTGGAGAATGAGTTTTTCTGTTGGAGATGAATTACTGCAAAATGGGATAGGTACTGCAAAATGAGTTTAAGTTTGGGGTACTGAGTTGGAGATGCTCTAAGCCGAATTTACTGAAATACCTCATTTTGAGCAAAACTCAAGCTAAATTCGAGCCAAACTTGAGAAAAAATATTTATTTGAACATAATTTTTTTATTGAGAATTCAGGTTGAACTCGAACGAAATCGTAGCTAATGAAATTTGAGTAGGCCTTTAGCTAATGTCGACCATTTGTATATTTAAACGAGTTGAATGAAGTCTTAATTAAAAAATTGAGCAAGAATAGTAGCAAAACAAATCAAGCTCGGCTAGATGAACTAATGCTCGGTTCGAATACTCATTTGAATATATTTTAGCAAAATGTAAAAGAAATAAAAAACCTAAATTGCTAATATATTTCAAATTTGGGATATGTGATTACATAATATATAAAAGATGAAGTGATAAAAAATTGAGCCCAATTAATAAAAAATGATAAAATAAGCTTAATTTCTATGATAGATCTTTTCACAAATACCCCATAGGCCCATATATGTGATGGTGATATAGTATCTCTCTAATTAATTAATAATTATCCCATCAAAACAAGTTCATAGAACGAGAAAAATGACATTCTTGTACTAAGACAACATTTTACATGACACAAGACCTCGTAATGCCAACAAAAATTAAATTATAATCCGCACGCCTACTAGCTGAAACATTAAAATAACGGTTAATTTGTACCTCTCTGTAGCTATTTTTACTGGGGTTGAAAAAGTGAAAACGAGAGTCAAAGTAATAGTAAACTTTTTGTCCTCATTATTAAATAAAAACAAATAAAAAAAAAAAAACAGTCAAACCGACGAATCCAACGTGGCACTACGCCGCAGCTGCTGGTTTCTACCGCAACCGCCGTCAGCCGCCGCCGGTGCCGGCAACACGAGCGAAACGACGACGTCGGAAAAAGCTTCGACAATGTATTTGTGCGCGTGCTTGGGATTCAACGACAGATAGCACAAGAGCAGCTCATTCAGAAACTCCCAATCGGCCTTATAATTGCGGGCCTCGATCATCTCCACCATCGATCTCCGGAAATCTGCGTACGGATCCGGTGAGTACGTGTCTACGGCCACGCCGCCGCCAACCACCGCGCCGGAGCCGTCCTCCGCCGCCGGCGGCGGCGGGCGGTCGAAGATGGAGTTGGAGCGGCCAGGGGAAGAGAGGAAGAATCGGTTGGAGGCGAACGCGGAGGTGAAGTCCGGCAGGGGGTCGTCGCCGGAGTCGCCGTCGTCGTCGGAGGAGGAGAGGAAGTCGTCCGTGGCGGCGCCGGCGGCGGCGGTGGTGGTGGTGGAGAAGGTGAGGGACTTGGAGAGGTGGTCGGAGGAGGCGCAGCAGGAGTTGGCGTCGTATAAGGAGTTGAAATTCTTGAAAATTGATGGATTGTTGTTGCCGCCGGCGTCGGAAAAACGGGGGTCCTGGTCGAGCTCGTCAATGGCTGGCGGCGGTGGGGAAAAAGCGATTGAGGGAAAGCACTTGAATTTGGAGAAACAGAGGTTGAAGCTCTTCCACATCAAGCTTGACATTTTTTATTATTTTTTATTTTCTTTTTCTTTTTTAGATGGTTGATCGGTACTAGTTAGGAGGCGAGGATGACTTATGAGGGTAAATCAATATATATATTATATATATAGTTAGCAACTGTACGACCTTGAATTCATGTGTGTGCGCATGCGGCATATGTATGTGTGGTGAATCTAATGAGACAATTTAATTCTTATCACGAGAATGTTAGACGCAGTTATAACAATTGATTTGTGTGAAATTAATGACTCATACAATAATGCTAACGGAGTCAACAGTTGGCTCCTTAGCATTATTGATGACTCATATTAATCAATTTAGATGAAAGTACTTTATTTGTTCAAGAAGTGAAATACCAGCGGAAGTGGACGAACTACCGTTGACTGGCGGGCGGCAGAGATGTAGTCAATTCCAAGACAACACGTTTAGTTTATACATAATGTATATTTAATTAGTTTATATATAATGCATACAATTTTGATATCAATTGCCTATTTTGATACCGGCGTTGATCGATGGCCGACGACAGTACCGTCAATTTAAGGCTGCACATTTAGTTCATACACATACATTTTTGTTGACGGTCGACCGACAACATTTACAGTTGATATTGATTGGACGATTTAATCGGGAGTTACGATATGTTTTGTGGTGTAATCGAAGCAATAAATCAGGAGAGAATAGGAACAGATTCATATTAAAAGAGAAAGTAAATATTCAGAAAAAAATAAATGAGATGCAGATGTTGTCGATCTACTATGGAGATCGGCAAGGAGAAATATTTTCTCGAATTCTTATCGAGGGAATGTAGGGAAAGAGATTATAGCCCTGTAAGAATGTATGGGGTGTTTTTGCTATGTGCTAGCTTGAGTGGGTATGAGTGTGTTTGTATATGATTTTTTCTCATGTCCTTGCTAGGACTCGAAGGGGTTTGATGTATACATTGGAAAAATAAAAATGCAATAAAGGCTTGGTTCCAACTATATATGGGCGTAGGATGGCGCTGCGTGTATCCGTGCAAAAGTCGTCTTTTAAGGATGGGACTGTAACGCCCCACTTTATTTTAAAGGATTTATCGAATTTATTTAATAAAAATCACAATAAATTTTTCGCAAACTTTAATTTAATTAAAAACTCAGTGGCCGCTACTCAAATTTACCAAAAGCCTTTATCCGAAAAAGCAACCACCTTAAAAACGAAAGATAGCATGCTCAAATATTAAATCATAAACCTCACTAGCATTCATTAAGTTCCAAATCATAAAATACAATTCATAATTCTCAAATTCAAAACGACATAATCAATATCCAAAATTTTCAACATGAGTTCATAAACTAAGCGGAAACAAAATTAAATAAGCAATAACAAATGACATAACCACCACCCGTCTTGTCTCGTCATCCGCCAACTGCTTAACCTGCATCAGTTACGAGCAGGTGGGAGTGAGTACAGTTAACTATCGTACTCACACTATGCATATGAATAACATAATAATGGTATGGTCGCAGCATGAACATAAACAATAAAATCATGTCACATCTCTAGCCACATCAATGACTATAGTCTCATCAAAGACTCACTCATGTACATCTATGCTCATCAAAGCTAAGCCATGCCATATCAGTGAAACATGGGAGTGCGTGCCACATCAATGACACGGCCTTCTCATAGGTCTTAATGAGATTTACCTCACGGGGTAACCGTATCTTATCATACGGGGACAACCGTATCGACGGCCATCAAGCTCACATCGATAGGCTACATGTTCATTTTCATACATAGATCACACCAAACTTTCATCACAATTTAAATCACACATATGCATAGATAATTTTAGAATAACCCACCTGGAAATTTCGGATTGATGATAGCAAATCAGAAAAGATGAGGACCGAGGCTCGACTCCTCAAACACCTACATTATGCCAAGATCCTACAATTAGAATCTATCTCGACTTAAACTGGAAATCACAAGACAGACCTAGTCGAACTCGTTTCGACTAAGTAGTTCGTGAAGTCCTGTGGATGTGGAACCCTAAGACTCGGCACTAAACTCAACCAAACCACTTAAGGGAGTTCACAAAAATCCATCTAAGGTTTGACCAAGTCAAATTCACAACAAAAACCAGCAAGCAAGTCAATTCAACTTCCACATAACAATTATACTCGAAAATTGAAATCATTTAATCGCGTGAAAAATAGTTGATCAAGATATCCTACGAATTAAGCTCTGAAAATTTATACAAAATTTCATCTCCCAGAAATATGTAATATCACAAAGTTTCAGCTTTAAACTCAACATACCCTATTTTATAAAATTCAAACAGTAATTCAGCAAAAAGGGCACATTAATCCATACTCAGACTTAGTGAATGAATTTGAACCTGAAAATTTTACACAGCAACATTCAGTATGCCAAAGTTCACTTATAAAATTTTCAGCCTTAAACAATAACTGCTCCTATTTTTAAAAATTCAAACAAGAAACAGCAGTTTATTGAATTTAAATCCAAACTGAAACCAAACGGACTCTAAAAATTTTCATATTTTACAGACATGATGAAACACTTAAAATATGACTCCCAGTAAAATTTCAGAATTTTCCACGCAGTAACCGATTTTTAAAAATTAAAACATCCTTTCTGCAGAATCAATAAATAAAATATTACCCATATCAAATCAACTCCAAAAATTCTGAAAATTTAACACAACACATATAGGTCACAGAGGCATGACATATTCGAATTTCAGCTCATTTCAGACAAGTATGAATTTATTATGTATTTAACAATATTCTGGACGGAATACAAATTAATTATTAAAAATAGCTACAGGACTCCAAAAATTACGAAAATTTTACACAAGGCAGGCAATGAACAGATAACACATCTCTCAAAATTTCAAATCGTTTCGAGTAGCGAGCTATTTTTAAAAATTCGAACACCGAAACAGCAATTCACAAGCTCGACAACTTGGCAATTAAATCACAACATAAAATTTCTCGTCCGAGGCCTTCCCATAAGGCCAAGGACTCGACTTTGTTCCAATATCCACCGACTTACACGAGTTTCGAGGTCTCGTTCGATTTTTGAGAAAATCGAAGAGGTCCCGAACACACGAACACATAAAATCACATAAAATCATAACAATATATATATTCGCGCTTATCACATCAATAAATTCACATCATACATAACAGGAACACTTCACGAACATGAACGATTCAACGAAACATATACGAATTAAACGAGATGGAAAAACGACGAGGTACCGTTCGCGGAAATAACTCGAAAAACGAAACGAACACGAACGGGCTCGACGGTAAACTCGTCTCGCCGGAAAAAGAGAAGGGCTCGACGCACGGGAGGAGCTTGCTGCTGGTCACCGGTCGTCGGGGAGGTCACCGGAATTGCAGGTTCACGGCGAGGGACGTCGGGCTACTCGAACTCGCCGGAAAGACGCGCACGGGGATGGTGGCGTGAGGAGAACGGTTCGCCGGAACTTGTGGAGAGAAGAGCTCTCGCCGGAAACGCAGCAGGGTCGCCGGAAGAGATAGTCACGCCGGCGATGATGGTGGTGGCACGAGGATGAAGATGAGGATGATTCGTGAGGGAGATGATGACAAGATGAGATTGATCACAAAGAAAAAGAACAAAGCTGCGGGTCTTCTTGGAGAAAAAAAAAACGTGATGGTGATGTGATGATATATATATATATGTATATGTATCATATGTGTAATAGTATTAGGATTAGGAAAGAGTTGTTGTCCAAGACAAACACAAACTCCCACACAAACACAAATTCTCACACGTTAGAAACAAAAGAGAAGGGAAAATCTGTCGGGCCGGGCCCGAGAAATTGGGTCATACAGATTTTGGGCCAGTTGGGACATTTAAATCGGCTCACGGGCTCAATTAAATATTTAAACGAATATTTTCGGGCCCAATTTCGGTTCCAACAAAAATCCTCGGGCTCGATTTCGAATGTAAACGCGCGATAAAAATAAACCGAACAGTATATATATATTTTACATATTTTTAAATACACATTATTCATATTAATAAATCACAAAATCAATTAAACAATTAGACAAATAGATAAATATATTGGCATTCAATAAAATAAAATATAAATATCACTACCAATTAATAATAACAATAATAATAGCAATAAAAATAATAAAAATAAATCCCAAATAATCCACAAATAAACGGGGCATTACAGTCTACCCACCTTACGAAGAATTCCGTCCTCGGAATTCGAACAACAAACTACAACGAGATTCTAACTACAAATAAGAGGAGACAACATCACCACATGAAATTCAGGTGCTTCCTCCGAATTTCGATCTCCCTCTCCTAAGTCGCCTAGCCTTGACCACCCTCCCACTGGACTTGACGAGTACCCCTCCCAGCCTTATCCTATGGACCCTCTGATCCAATAGGTTACCGGTACCTCCATAGAGGTAGGGTTCTGCCTATCACGCAGCTCGTCGCGTCTCACATATACTCCGAGATCACGCACACGTTTCCTCCATCAAGAGGCACAGAACGTGTCATGCATCCTCGCGAGTTCCGGTGGTAGAGTCAACCATCAGGCTAAGTCATCGACTTGGTCTGGAATCAAAAATAGGACTGAGTAGCGTGGCAGTAACCAGACAATGGCATACTCCACCTCTATCCGTACCAGCCACCTCGCATGGTACCACTAGGGTTGTCGCTAGATAACCATCGTTACCAGCGTACCTCCCTAAGGAAATTTCTCACCCTCTACTCATCTATCAATACACAAGACCCTAACCGGTCCTTACGTGTCTTGATAGTATGTTCCGACATAATCAACATATAGGGTTGACTTGTAGTATCGAGCTTCAGCTCGTGCCCGGGTCACGGTAGAAAACTCGACTACTACGCTGACATGATCCGTGCGTCCTTATAAAACAGGCCGCCACGGAAATCCCATACGAATGGGCTAACAATCCACAATAACACTATATCCTCAACACCGATACCTACAGAACACACGGCTCTGTTTGATACCGTTGTCAACAACTCTTCCCTT